CTTCTACAGAGGTCTCTGAGCATACGTTCAGTTCAGTGTGGAGTGCTTTGGACCAAAATCTTACCGTTTTCCAAAACACTACTGCATCATGTATCCCACCTGCTTTAACTCTTCGGCTTAGCTCAGTAACCCACCCAATACTTAAAACTAAAAGGAAAATGTCAGAGCTGGCACCATTGCTGGCAGGCCACGCGTGCACACGTATGTGCAGAGCACAGATCCGTTCACAGCAGCGACGTGCTGACTCAGGTTCACCTAGCACAAGAATCTGGCCCCACTGCTTCCAGGTGCCTCTCACTGAACACACGTGTTTGGATTTCTTTGAAATAGCCAGGGCTATTCACACCAGACCAGAGAAGAGGCATTTCAAGTTTAATGAGCTGGGGACGTTCCCAGCCAGAGACTGTGCTACTGCAGTAGCCAGACATCAGGGAAGACAGAAGACGACAAAGGATTCTGGAAAGAAACCAACCCTACTGATAATTCAAATTGTCTGTAATATCCCACAAATTTTGCTCCTTTTACTCATACAAGTCATTCTGTCCTCTTCATGTGCAGTAACTGAAGTGAGTGAGAGCAGCAGGGTAGGCCAATAGCTGCATCTTCAAAAAGCATTTTGAAAGCCTCTGACTCCAGATGCTGAAACGCAACATCCCAGCAGGCTCATCTTCAAAGACGTGGCATTGCCGCTTTCTCAAAAGCCCCTCAAGGTTCCCCAGTCACACTGGGTAAACAAAACATACTTCCAGTCACTCCAGACAATGTATACCAGTATAAAAACATAAAACTATAACTTCTTTAATCCTTTTTCTCCTCTCACATGGTTTTGGAGCAGATTCAACAAGAGCACCGCTACATCCTTGACCATCTTTCCTCAATCAGAATCAGCCAATAAGCTAAAAAACTTGCATCTTCCCTTTTCTCCTTTTCACCTACGGGACCATTCACATTGCAGAGGAAAATCCTGCTGGAGGTACTCAGGTTTTGACAGAAGGGTCAGCTGGTTTCCAGGCTCCAGAGCCTACCTGTCTTCCTTACGAAGAGCAAGGTGGCAGCTGTGTTCTGCCAGCGGTGGGCACATCTGGCACCTCTGGCAGCACGCAAGGTGTGCTCGGGTGTTTCAGTTCCCACGTGCTCCCCAGCACCCTACAGCAAAGCTTCACACGTTCACTGCACAGACAGTGAAGCTCGCTTGGAGAACAGCCCAGAAAGACAGCTTCAGTCATGTCCTCCAAGACCTCGCGTTACTCTCCGCCACTCCTCTCTTAGTAAACCCCGAGAACAGAGAGGTTTTTTTACAGGAGGGATGTTTCAGCACTGATTTCCAAGTGTGCTTTAGCCACGTAGGGCAGGATACCAAAAACCACAGAAAACTGCTTGAACAGGAGAAGGTAAGTGGAGACAGACCTGAATCAGCATATGGCAGATGTCCACGTGGCCAGACTCGGCGGCAGCATGGAGAGGGGTTCTCTTACTCTGATGCTCCATTTTAAAATTAGGGTCAATTCCATCCACTGAAAAACAGAGCAGAGATGCTTTCAACCGCAAGACAGAGATTAGAGGAAAATAGGAGAACCACGTCTCAGGAGAACCAGTAACAGGAGAATCAGGTTTCAGCTAAAGGCTTTTAAAGGATGGGTTTCCAGCCCACCCTCAGACATTCTCACCACTCACTACACACTGAAGCCGGAGAGCTCTCAGGTAGTCCCCTGGACATTTGATATGCAACAGCCCTCAAAGCAACACCACGGGATTGAATACCTTTCAGGCTTTACAGCTTCTACAGAGGCCACATCCCCTAGATCCACAGTTTGCCATCTCTCCATGCGACAAAACCAAGAATCACCGTGCAAGGATGAAAAGGAAAAAAAGACGCTGCTTTGTTTACAGCAACATAGAAGTTGGAAACAACAGCCAGTCCTACCTGGCCTTTCTGTCTCACCACTATTAACTGCAAACTAATACCAGCGGTCCTCACTGCCTCCCTGCAAACACAGGGCTACAAAGCGGATGGAGCTCCTCCAACTACCACAAGCTCGGGATCTGGCCAGAGATTCTCACAGCTGTGCAAAGACTGACAGATGACGATGACAGCCAGACAAAGATGTCTGGGCATGATAACATGTTGCGTACGATGAGGTCGTAGTGATATATCGATGAATAACATTTTTTTGTGCTATTGAAGACACAAACAATGAAGCTAACACTTGCTAGAAGAGAAAAGAAGGATCTGATACATGAAAACATCCAAAAATGTACTGCAAAATACTGGAGTGGAAAGGAAACGATCCCAAAGAAACACTGTGTCCTTCAAAGGGGCAGATTCCTCAGGAATATTCATTGGTAAAAACAAGCTCAGCAGCTCAAAGCTGTCTGATGACAGACCATTATGCACCTCCAAAACAACCCCTGTGTATTTCTGCTCTCTTGCTGATGGGCCTCAGCTTAAGCTGACTCCCATCTTTTTACTTCTCTCCTGGATGCAAATACCTAATTCCCCCATTGCACAGAGGGGAGAGGTTCTGTCAGACCGGAAAAATCACATGCAGGTCATCCAGGGACAGAAACAGCTTCTCTGGATAAAGCCATGCCCAAACACAGGAACAAGCTCGGAGCAGGTCCACCTTCCACCCAAAGACGAAGCCATTTCCAATGACGCATCACTCGCAAAAGCAGCTTTCTCCTCCCACTGCGCTCACGAGGGGCAGCGGGGAATACGCCGTGCTGGGAACGGGGCTCCGGCAGGAGCTGGGAGTACCGCCAGCCGCGCAACGTCCCGGGAAGCAGCCACCTACCCAGCATAAGCAGGACTTTCTGCAGCTCTCCTTGCCTCGCGGAGAAGTACAACTGCTTTGGATGGAACCGTAACTTCTTGGGTCTGCAGGGGTGGGGAAAAGAGGTGTAATTAATACTCGCTGAAGAACTGCTACCCTACGTGTGGGACCAAGCCTGTTCCTACAGTGCAGCTGCAGAGAGCCAGGAAAACACAAGAACAACAAGTCTGCAGAAGGAGATCTTAAAATGTGCACCTCCAGCCACAGACAGCTTTGTTCTCACAAGGGCTGTAACTATTCAGAGCCACTCGTCAGCAAATTCTGCATCTCACTACAGTAAATGCGAACTCTTAGTAGTTAAAGCTGTGCTTGGAGAGCCAGCGAAAAACTAAATCTTCCAGATAAATCAATAAAGACATTTAGAGCTATATCTGTTCGTTTGAATAAGGAATCTGTTGGGGGTGACAAATGAGCAAAGTGAACAAAAAAAAGTGAGGCCAAAATCCAGAGAGGCTAAATCTCAGTTTTATCTAGGTTAAGCAACTTTGCTGGGAAATGGAGAGACCCGGTGCCCTTTTTTTCTTACTTTTCAGAGTCCAGGGCAATCAGGGCACTTTCCAGAGTTTCTTTAACTGGTCCCTGGGTCAGGCTAGTAGTAGGCTTTGGAAAAACTGAAGACCCGGCCACGTCAAACCCCTCAGCAGCCGAACTTTCTGGCTTGTCTTCCTCTGACAATCGCGTCCCAGTGCCACTGAAGAAAAAAAATGAAAGACAGCCAAAACACAACCATTAAAAATACACAGTAGTGTGTACCTCTTGCCAGAGGAGGAAAGGAAATGGATTTTAAATACAGATAAATGTAAGTGAAATCAAAACACAAAGCAATATATTTTACAGCCTTTTCGGTAAGAACTTGACCCAAACAGGATTTGCGCTGCCCTTTGATTACATTTTTATGTACTTCGTGCTACCAAAAACCCAGGAGTCATAAAAGCCACCAGAACAAGAACAGATTGGATGAGAAGGCAGAGCACTGTTCAACACGGGGTTGGCCTGATCTGAGTTTTCATTCTTTTTATATATCAGCGTGATGCTGATAACACCAAGGTTGTGGGTTCAATCCCCGTTTGGTCCCCATGTGTTGCCTGATCTAGTTGAGAGGCGTCCCTGCCCATGACAGGGAGGTTGGACTGGATGATCTCTAAGGTTCCTTCCAGCCTAGGCCAGTCTAGGATTCTATACTTGTGCCTATCGGTGCAAGCCAGGAGCTACAGCCAGGTGCTGCATGAATTTCCCTGTCACTCAGCAGACCTGGCAACATCAACTCATTCCTCTATTAGTCCATTCCTGACAATAAGCGGAAGGAATGGTTTCAACTCCTAAACCCCTCCTACCTTCCCAGCCTCTGCTCCAGCTCACCCCTGTGGCTGCTGCACCCAACACAGCAAGCAACACAAAACCCACCTGCAGATTCCTGCAGCCGAGTTTGGCGTTGCCAGGGCAGGACCAGAAAGCCCTTTGCTCCATCGGGAGGAGCACCAGAATGCAAAGAACGGTCTGGTGTGGGGTTCAAGAGCCCCACTCACTGCCAAGCTCACCTCCCCGTCGTGGTGTCGGCCCTCCCCTCCACAGCCGCAGGTTTCTGCTGCTCGTAGGTCAGCGACACCGTCGAGGTTGTGTCAGCTTTTGCTATTGTCACCTCCTTTGCCTTGGAGGCCTCCTCCCCGCAGTGTGGGCAGTAGCTCGTGTCGTTGACCTGGGAGGCACAGCTCTTGTGGAAACGGTGGGAGATGCTGCTCTCCGGCTGACACTCCATGAAAGTGCCCTGAAAAAACCACACAGAAGAAATTCACACCTCAGTCACTACACTCCTTACCCCTTCCACATGCTTCATCCGCAGATCTCTTAAACACTTCATTCCTCACCACTCCTGGCCCTGGCGCTTCCAATACAGTAAGCGAGCACTGTCACTTCTTTAGAAGAGAACAAAACCAAGGTAAAGGGGAAAAAACTCAATTGGTTAGGGACTGCGAAGCAAGTTTTTTAATTGTGCTTGGGAAACAACCAAGAAATCCCAATTTCCAGCTCTTTCCTCCAACGCTTGAAGTTCTCGCTTATGTTTCTAGAAGTGCCAGTGTACTGTAAGGACGCCCCCAAAACTGGAAAAGAAAACTTCAAGATCTGTGTGCTGAGCCAGCATGAGAACTACCTAACCAAGCTGCGCACAAACCTTTCAAGGACCTACGTGAATTAATTAAATCAGCTGTCAACCCCACTGTCACCTACAGCATTTGGCTTCCCTGCTCGGACCAGCCTCCTGTGCTGTATAACCCCAACAGCGTGGTTGACTGCTCACTCACCAAACTTGGGCAAAGTTCTCTAAAAATTATTTTCCTTTTCCAGCCAAGTCCTTCGAAGTGAACTGAAGGTAGCCCAGAGCTCAACGTGGTACCAGCACTCCCTGAAGCCCTGCTGTGCTCTGTGCTATCAGCGATGGACAGCACAGACAAACGCTCCCGGGCTCACCTGTGTGACCTGCGACACCTTGCCGAGCGACGCGGGAGCACGCAAGGAAAGGTGAATTAAAACTCACTCTTCTCCTCCCAAGCAATCTAACTAACCCTATCCCAGCTTTGCAAAATGCCTTTAAGGCTTCTGAGGGTTTTATCTTCTGAAGGATCTCTGACTCAGCATGAGAACCCCGGATGGCCCCATTCATGACAGTAATGCTTGCGACTACTGTCCAGCCTTTCATCGAGGCATCTTGAAGAACATTTACACTGGACAATTAACCCTCCTCATCACCCTGTGAGGACATCAACTGGTCGTTTACCAACAGGGAAACTAGGATGCTGACAATTTAAAGGACTGAACCAGCGTTACTAAAAACCTCAGTAGCATAGGTGGAAGAAGCAGCAGGAGATCTCAAACACCGCCCTGCTCCGGTGCCATCACTTGGGTTCCCTCGTCTAATCCATCAGGAGCAGACAGTGGGCACAAATATGTGTACACAGATTCATTTACAAACCAAGCCAACACATTTTTTGATGCGATTGATCTGTACAGAGAAAGAAAAAATAAACCCCTCGTTCCAAAGGAATTCCTAGGGCAAGACTTTCACCGTGTGAAATCCCAGTGAAAACCCTTCAGTAACACCCCTTGGGGTCTCCAGGAGGACGAAGGTGCCGATGGCAGCTGCCCTCACACACATCCCTGCTGAAAACACCACCTGACACGCTGTGGAACGAGGTGGAGCTGGTGCGAGGAAGTCAGTAAACCCCTTGAGGTACCATCTCCACCTTCAGCTCTTCCAGCTACTGCAACAGGTACCCCCTTCCCTAGATCGAGGAGCACGGACTTACTGCAGTGCAAAAGTATCCACAGCCAGGGCAACACTGGTGTTTCACCATCCTCCCTCTATGGTCCTCACACAGCACCAAAAGCTGGACTTTGTTAGACGGGCGCATCAGTTCATACTTAACCACACTGTTTGTGCATCGGCCCAGCTGGAACAGGAGAAATTAAAGGAAATGAAATTACTGGAGACCAAAACACTCTCTGTGCTTGTGCGGAGGAAGATTTTTTTTGCACGCTGCCTTGCCCAGCCCTGGATTTTTTCGCAGTAATTCAGATGTGTGCCAGATAGCATTAGCAGTGCAGCAGGAAGCTGTGAAAGCTGCTCTCACAGGAAGAAATGCATCATTTACTAACTAACATGCATGCGGACTCCGAGTCATTTGTTCCTTGCAAGGAAAAACAAAATAATAATAATAATAAAAAAATCTTAACTGGAAATACGCAACAGCCGAGCAGCGGCAGAAGGGGCAGTCCCATGGGCCTGACTCACACAACACACGCTCTGCTTTTGCCAGGAAAAATCGATGACCAAGAGAGCAAGACCATACGCACTAAATCTTGTTACTGTTCAAAAGTATAAGTCACAGGAAGATCAAGGGAAAAATAATTGCTCTTGGTTGCCAGTGAAGTGATAGTCTGTACGGGCTCCAGCGCTGGCCCCTGCCCAGACCACAGGGATGAAGAGCCAGACTTTCAGGATTGCTCGGCTAAAGTCACATTTTGAACATGTTTTCCCAAAAGATTTCACCAATGTAAAGCTGGGCTTAAAAAGCTGGCTTTCCGTGCACCGCTGTGCTGTGATAATGACAGCAGGCTCTGGAACGGGGCTTCCCTGTTCCCCATCAGCTTCACCGGCTCCGCTGCATCAGAAGGATGAGCACCTCCTCTGCGGCCCCAGTCACACCCCCACCACACCTGCCCAGCCCAGCTGCCACCTGCTTGCACGACACAACACTCTCGGGTTCCCCAAGTTCTTCTTGATAATAACCTTGCCTTCCCTGGGTGCTTGATAAACGACGTTTATAAACTAGAAATATAAGCATGAAAGGCTGCTGCAAGGAAACGGCCCTACCAAAACCTCCGCCCGGTTTATTGTGCTCTGCCCACCAGGAGCAGAGGGGTCAGTCGGGAACACGGTGCCGGCTCATCACCAGCAGAGTGTCTCTCTGGTCTAACTCAGGTTTGATTTGATGCTTTTTCCCCCAACAAAACTAGACCTTCCAAAATCATTATTATTTTTTTTTTAAACTCTGCTTCTCCTCCAGAATCAACACCCCTACAGAAAAAGAGAATTGATTTTAACCTAGGCTCCTCGTTCACCCCTAGCAGCTCTGATCCAACGTACCCAAATTCCAGCTGCAAAGTCTACCTGTGGTTGTGTCACCCTGGCCAGGCTGGTCGCTGTTACCACACAGACCCCAGGGCCTGCAGGGGTGGCAGGAGAGGACCTTTGCATTTATTTCTACTTGCGAGCTGAGAAAATCTGATTAACAGGAGAAAAGCTGCACTGTCCACGTGAGGAAGTCCTTGCGCTACTACATCACACTCTATTATTTGTTAGAAACTTGAAGAAAAGTACAAAATGATTAACTGCCATTTTCCAACCATCAGAGAGTGCAGCAGGGTGCTCATAACTATTTATAAAATTCTCCAAGGACATGATAGCCTGGAGAACCCACTATTCACATATATAATATTCTTATGACACCTGAGTCACTTATCCCATTATGAAAAAGAATGTAGCATAAAGCGTGGCCTTTGCTATTCCTCTCTCTGACTTATCCAGGGACAGAACTGTCAAATCACCATATACATGAGAAGGAACTCTTTCAGGTACCTGTTGTTTATTTAGAAACCCTAGGTCCCCTTCTCTCATATAAATCTCCAGGGCATTCTCTCTTTAACGAATCAACTGTGCCACGCTTTGGAAAATCCTTTCTCTACAGGAACAAGCCTGTACTGACAGAAGCAGAGCTGGGCTGCACATCTGATGATCCCCTTTCTCCATCCATCCACCCTTCTCCTGGGATCCTACAGGAGAATTAGGGATCATCTCACTCCTTGTCCTACCACCGGCAAGCACCAGAGAGCTGCACCCTGATAGCAGCTCAGCTGAACCTTCAAAGAAGCCCAAGTGCCGCCAGGTAAAAGAAGGATCTACCAAGAGTGTTCCTGTCCTGCAGTCTCACTTTCCAGACTCTGGGAGGGAGTCAGTTCTGCCACTTCCACACTTCTGGAACCAGCGGAGCCCAACTAACCCAGCTGTGACTGACTGAAAGACAAGGGCAATCGTTTTCAGTCGGCCAGACCTGGTGGCTGCGTGGGGTTGCCAGGACAGAGGAAGCTTTGTAAGAGAAGCCTCTTGGGGGAGGAGGAGAGAGGAAGGCTGGGGCAGCCTCAGCCAGTGGAGGGCATGCCAAGTTCCCGAAACTCAAGAACCGGCTGCGGAAACGTTTGCATCAGCTCCGTGGTAGTCAAGGGAAATCAGCTCCCAGGTTCCTCTAATTGGATTTCCCCACTTTGATGCCTACTGACGTTATTTTAGCCCGCTTGGTCTGAAGTGTGCCTGTTACATCAACTCGAAGCAGCCGCACAGGCCAGGACAAGCAGGAGAGATCCACAACACGCCCCTCCAGCTGCAGACCGCGCCACCTCCTCCTTCCCAAGCGTCACCCTGGCTGCGTGATGCACGCAGACTGCTGGAGCCCCCCGGCTTAGCCAGGGAGATGTTTGACACGACACATCAGCTTTTTATTCTTTATGCCTTTGTCCTCAGCAGAAAAGCCTGCAAGAAGCTGAAAGACAGGCTCCTACCTCGTTATCCACACTCTCCGTGGCCATGCACTGGTTGTTGGCTAACGTGGTGATCTCTCTGCTTTTGGGGGTTTCCATTCGACAGCTACAGAGGGGGACTTCCTGGAGACCATCTACTTCCATTGCTTCGGGACCATTGGAAAGACCTAGGGTACAGAAAACCAATGAATCAACTCTGAAATTCTCTTCCAGGAAGAACGATGCAGCCCATCAATGCCACCCACATCCTGCGGCACCTTCCCTTCCACAACCTGCAATGTTTTCAAGGCATTATCTAAATCCTGTTAAAAAGATCCCTTTCTTACACTAGCTGGAGTCTGCAAAAGCATCCTGAACTCTTCTAAGTCCAGGCACACTGCAGATGACTGTGCTGAAATTGAGAAGAATAAGTTAAGAACAGTTTACTCTGGGAAAATCTCAACAAGGAAACAGCAATAACAAGGTACAGATTTTTATCAGCCTGTCTCTCCCTCTCCACCTGCCCCAAAATATTGTGCTCTGGCAGCAGAAAATTTGAAGGAAACCACCCGGAGTTCAAAATTTGAATAGTTAGTGGAGTGATAAATAGAGAAGATGAGGAAAGCACAAACTTCTGTTTGCAGAGACTTATTACACAGATGGGAAAACAAAATTCCTGGGACTATTTGGTCTTAGCCAACCAAGAATTATTTATTTTGGAGAGAGAACAAACGGGGGAAAAGAAAGCAGCAAGACGCTCAGATATTTTTGCCTTCTCCTCATCTCTTTCTCTCAGGTGTTGAACACTTTCAAACCTATTTGCAGGTGGATAATGGCTTTTGAGGGGGCTCACCGCCAGGTACAGGGGCACAGCGTGAATGTTCTTGTGGCTCCTCTAGATTCAACTCGTTCACTATGTTACCCATGATTGCAAAACACTGGCCTAACGACAAAGGGGTTGCTTTCAGCCCTAACATCTCTTTGCAACATCTTCATCACAGAAGCAAACCCTCAAACGTTCGCCTTTGGATCAATTCACCCTGAAATGCCCCAAACTTCCCCTACCCAAGCCTGCAATAGGATGGAGTTCCAGCAAGAAGCCAACATGCTGACTTTTTTTTTTTTTTTAAGCTTTTGAGAGGAGAGTTATTTTGCCGCAAAAGTTTCAAAGATTAACTTCATTCCTGAGGGAGATTCCTTTTTAGCTGCCCTGGCAGTGGCAGCACCCTGCCCATGGCTACAACCCTGCGAGCCAAGCACAAGCCCCTTTCATCTCGTAAGGAGTCTCCTTAAGCCAACAAGTCGTAAGACCAAGCCTAGAGCAGGGATGGGATATTTCAAGACATGCAAAAGCAAAGTGAAAGTCCTTGCAGTTTTCATAAAAAATCCTGTCAAGATCTTAAAGGTTTAAGAGCTTTTTTTTGAGGGCCACAAATCACAGAGCTCATTCCTTGCCTTCCCAACTGTCACTTTTATCATCTTTTTGACATCCAGAGGCTCTGGTGAAAGCGTTCCTGATCCATCCTGACCCTCCCTTGGTGGCGAATACTTTCGCTTGCTCTTCAACGCGTCTCTATCAAAAAAGCCAAACAACCTTTGAAAGGCAAAGAGCTATGGGGGACAGACGGACGGACCCAACTCAGCCAGGAGGCAAGCTGAGCACTGAGAACAGCGCCTGGGGGTGGGCACCCAGGACTCAGCACCAGTCCTTCTTCCCAGGGCTGAACAAGAGGATCTTGGTGGGCAGTGGGGAGAGGTTAAATCATAGAATCATAAAATCACAGAATGTGTTGAGCTGGAAGGGACCTTTAGAGGTCTTCTAGCCCAAACCCCCGCAGGGAGCAGGGACAGCTTTAACCAGATCAGGTTGCTCAGAGGCCCATCCAGCCTGACCTGGAATGTCTCCAGGGATGGAGCCTCCATCACCTTTCTGGGCAACCAGTGCCAGGGTCTCACTACTCTCATAGTAAAAAATTTCTCCCTAATGTCTAACCTAAATCTACCCTGCTCTGCTTTAAAACCATCTCCCCTTGTCCTGTTGCAACAGGCTCTGCTAAAAACATCGCTTCCACCTTTCTTACTGCTTCCTTTTATGTATTGAAAGGCTGCTGCAAGGTCTCCCTTGGAGCTTTTTCTTCTCCAGGCTGAACAACCCCAACTCTCTCAAGCTGTCTTCACAGAGAAGGTGCTCCAGCCCCCTGATCATCTTTGTGGCCTTCTCTGGACCCGCTCCAATATATCCATGTCTTTTTTTGTGCCAAAGGCTCAGGAGTGGGACGCAGCACTCCAGGTGGGGACTCACCAGAGCAGACGGGAGGGAAAAATCAGCATCCTTCAGGGAACGGAAGGGGGATGCCAAGCGGGACAGAGGGGCTGGGACAGCACCTTGGAGCCCTTGCTGGGTGTTTTCCTGGGCTGTTTCCATCCCCACCCCATCCCATCCCATCCCCGGGGGCTGGTGGGAGCTCAGCAGCCGGGC